TACCACATCTTCACCCAGTCATCTGTCTGTGGACCCTTAGGTTGTTTTATATAGCTTGGCTATTGTAAGTAGGGCTGTAGTAGACATAGGAATACATACACTTCTTAGTAGGGTTCTTTCATTCTTTGGGCAGAATCGTAGGAGTGGAATTGTTGGTTCATAGGTAAATTTATTTTAATATCCTGAGAAGCCTCTCTACTGATTTCCACAGAGACTGGACTAGTTAGTCTACATTTCCACCAACAGTGTACAGGATTCCTTTTTATCCACACCCTGCTAACACTTGTTTCTAGGTTTTTTTGTTTTTTTTTGTTTTTGTTTTTTTTTTTTATGTGGGCCATTTGCACAGCTGTGAGGTAGTTACTCATTGTGGTTGATTCACATTTCCCTGATAATAAACAGTAATGAACACTTTCATGTGCCTGCTGGCCATCTATACATCTTCTTTGGGGGAAGTGTTTGTTTAGCTTTTCTGTTACTTTTTTTTTTTTAAAAGATTTATTTGTACATATAGAACTGGGGTACAGGCCAGAGGCTGGCTCAGGGGCGGTGAGAGGCTTCACCAGAGACAGAGTGGGATACAGAACAGGCAGATCAACGATGTACACTGCTGAGGGGAGCAGCGGGTGGGTCAGGAAAGGTCTGCCACACCATGTGGTCACCTCCAGGGCAGGTGGGAATCAAACTCATGCGGAAGCGGCTTTAGATTCTCAGTGCTGTGTTTTAACCCGCTGTGCCACCAGGGAGGGCCTTCTGTTAGTTTTTTGAAGGGTTAGCTGTCTTGAGTTGAGTTGTCTTAAGTTCTTTGTAGAGCTTGGCTATCAGCCCTTTTCAAGAGACATTTTCTCCCATTTGGTAGGGTGTCTTTGTTTTAATGATAATTTCTTTCATTATGCAGAAGCCCTTTTAATGTGAGGTAGTATGATCTGTTTATTTTTATAAAAACATCACTGAAGCCAACATCATGGATTATATTGCCTGTGTTTTTTCCTATGTGTATTATAATTTCAAATCTTACTGCCAAGTCTTTGATCCACTCTGAATTAATTTTTGTGTGTGGTCTGAGATAGTAGTCTGTTTTGCACGTTCAATTTTCCCAACATTTTTTGTGTTGTATAGACTTTCCTTTCTTGCTGTTCTTGGCTCCTTTGTTGTATATTAACTGTCTATATAAAGGGTGGGATTATTTCCAGGCTTTTAATTCTAGTCCTTTGATCTGTGTGTTTTTATTATAGCACCATACTGTTTTGATCACTGTGACTTTGTAGGATAATTTGAAGTCTGCAAGTCCATTCTTTTTTATTAAAATTACAATTTTGTAAACGTTAGAATGAATGCCTTCATATATTATGCTTTAAAAATAATTTGCATTTGCTGATTCTTTGCTTTCTCTCTAATACTAATTGTTATATTATTTGTATTGTTCAGTACTATGAACTGTTGATACTTTATACAGTCATCTTTTGACATTGGTATCCTGTTTTTGGAGTGAATTAGAAACTAAAATTATCAGAGGGGAAATCGATCAGATGATTGTTATTTAACCCATTCATACACATTATTTAACCCTTTCTTTGGTTTGATCACAGCTTTAACACTACAAGATTCTTTATCATGATGGAAATCATGACATACCTTTAATGATGATTGACTTCTGTAGTCTTTTTCCCAGCTCTTGGTCTAACATTACCACTACTGTGCAGGATTGAGGCTGTTGATAGCAACAGAGGACTCTGGGGAGTAGTCACCAGGAACTTTGAGGGGCCTATAGATAACTGTGTTTCCATGGGAGGCCCTCCAGGGAACCCTGTACTTGCTCACTGTTAATTACCTTATACTGCAACCTAATTGTTAAGAGCATAAATGTTTTCAACAAATACTTGTTGAGCACCTGTCCTCTTCTTACACTTTCATGCTCCTGTTGCAACATTGCACATGGATAACTTATAGAACATAACTTAAATTGATATCATTCTCTTTTTCCCAAAAGTCAACTCTGCCTTCTTCAGCTTCCGTTCCTGTTCTCATCTATGATGGTTAATAGTGACACCAGTTACTCCTCTCTTTCATACCAGAACTTGAACATTTGGAATTATCTGTACTCTTTACACTTGATCCTTCTGTATCTAATAAATTATCATACCCTGTTTGTTTGGCCTCCAAAAATATCTTTCAGATCCATAATGTTCTTCTTTCCTAATGCTAATGTAAAAGCCGGTTTATTTCTCCCTAGACTATGTCAGCAATCATCCTAAATTTTTATCCCAATCCTCTACTCATCTTCTGCCACATTATCCTTAAAAAATATTTACTCATCTCTTGCTGTTGTTCTGAAGTTTCCTTTTTTTTTAAATTGGCATGTATTTTAGAAAATTTTTCATGTACTTCATATGGATTTATCTTTTCTTAATGCTGCTTAGTATAGTTACATGATATGTGTGTATTATAGTTTACTGAATCTTCACCATTCCTCTGTGAATTGACATTTATGTTACTTATATTTATTCTTTACCTGTTACAAAGAATACTGAAATGTATGTCTTTGAATATGTTTATCTGTGTCAATGTGCGAGTATGTTGATGTCACAAAATGGAATTTCTGGGCTAAATGAATATACAGCATTTAAAATGTTACTAGATCAGAGTCACTTTACAAGAAGTGCCTGTCAGTTATATTCTCACTCTTCGTGCTTCCCCTTCCTGCACCCACCAAGGCCGTTTTAAGTCTGGACCTGATGCATTCCCCTGGTCTTCACACTCTGATTGGACGGTTCTCATTTACTTGGTCACTGTCAGCCAAGTCCAGGTTTTTTTTTAGTACAGAATATGTCCTGGGCACTGAGTTCTAGTACTGGACAAATAGGTTCTCTGCCTTCATCTCGTTGAAATTACTACCACACAGAAATTTTTGCCATTTCCTTAAGCATTTGGAGTTCCTACTCTTCCTGTTGCAAC